TATCAAATTATTGGCCAAAGAAATAAGAAAGAATATAACTACTAAAACTCGTGATGAATAGGAATTTGAATTAACATCACAACCGGGAAATAACTAGAGGTTCAGCTTAAGCAACGGTTAAATGAAAACGTCAGCTGTCCCTACAACGATGAAATTGTTCTACTTCAAATAATTTACTATGTAATTGGATTATCAGTGTCTAAAAAACAAATGATGCTCGACCTCTTGTGATGCGAGTCAAACGAAGCTACATACAGTATATAGGCTAATCTTTCCTAGTCATAACCACAGGCCGGTGTTATATGTGCTTAGGGATTGGCATGTGAACACTTGTTAGGGCCCGATTTAAAGGGCTTACAATCATTACAAGAAGTTGAATACAATAATGGCACAAGGAGGTGCAATTATTGTTTGAATAGTATAGGTACTTGGAAGAAATAAGAATTAGGTAATTGTTAATTCGTTATTATTAATTATGATTAATAATAATTAATCGGAATCGAAACTCGGAAAGTAATTATTAATTAGTTTAATCAATTAATTAAATCGATTAATCGATTTTATTAGTTCGTTTAAGTGATCAATCGGAAAGTAATTATTAGTTTGTTTATAGGCCAACAGGATGCAAAAGTAGTACTTTCATCGTAGGCTATTTACTTAATGGTGTGAGCTAGCACTCACACTAATATTTTTTTATCCTTTCCTCCGTTTCAATTAACATTTTTAAATTCTGTTAGCCTATATAACACCTTCTTCCTAAGGATATTCAAGATTATAGATTTCATCCTGTCATAATTAACAGTGCGGTTGGACGCCATCGTTGTAATATTTTCAAGTGTATGGGATAATTCGTTTCTGAATTAGGTACTTAACCGATAACTGCCACAAATGAACTTGGTTCGCTTTAGATAATTGAGTTAAGCGTATAAAATAATTAAACTTTACACCTGCGCAGAAGCTGCAATTATTTCAGCTCTGTAAGCCTTGTAGTTTTTTAATTAGGCAATTTACCGAAAACTGCCTTTAATGTACTTGATATCACCCAAACTTAATTGAGGAATTTGTTCATTTCACACCTGTGCAATTATTAATATAATAGCATTAATTTCAAGAATGGTAATAAATTTTTTTAGTATTAATTTCAAGAATGAGAATTACTCTTTTCTGAATCTGGTTATGAAAAGATAACTGCCTATATTCAAACTATATCTCTACCAAATTTGTTAACTATGTCAATTTTACATCTGAGCAGTGGCTACAATAATTTTAGGAATGTGGGTTAGGTCGATTTTGAATTATGTAACTAACCGATCACTGCCACAAATAACTTTGGATCTCCACTAAACTCGAGAAAAATTATTATTTTATGCCTACGCATTGGCGGTAATAATTGTATTTATGTAGGTTTAATTATTCATGAAACAAGTAATTTACCGTTAATTGCCAAAAATAAAGTCAATTATCCACCAAGTCCGAGAAATATGTTGATTTTGCACCTGTGCAGTGGCTGGAAATTTTCAGGGTCGTTGTTTCAGAAGTATATAATAAACCGATAAGTAAATTCAGCAAATTAAAATGGCTCTCCATCGGACTCGCGTAAAATCTTAATTTTGTACCTGCGCAGTGGCTGTAAAAATTCCAGTCATAAGTACTTATATCATTAGTCTGCTTACATCGCAAGTTCACAAGGAATTTAAAAGCAAAGAAAACGCCTTTGAATTTTGACTTTTAAAGTGATTTTATTCATTTTTAGTTTAGTCGAACTGATGATGGAGCTGGACTCCGAAACGTTTTCAATATCGATATGGTGAATTTTCTTGGCGTTTTCTTTGCTTTTAAATTCCAGTCATGTGGGGTTAGTTTTTTTATGAATGAAGTATTTTACCAATAACTGCTTTAAATGTACTTGGATCGACACGAAACTCAGGAAATGTGTTCATTTAACTCCTGCGCAGTGGCTTTGGTAATTTCAGGTATGTTGGTTCAGTCCTTTTGAATTCGGTAAATAACCAGTATGCTTTAAAAACAGTTGTAAACTCATGAATTATGCTAATTTTATACCTGCACATCGGCTAAAATGTTTTTAGGTATGATGGTTTAGTCGTTTTTATTGGAATTAGGTAGTTAAGCGATAACTGCAAAAAATAAAGTTATTGACTCACCAAAATCGTGGCATACATCAATTTTATACTTGTGCATCGGCTATAATATTTTCAGGCATGTTGGTTTCGTCGTTTTCTACAAAAATAAGTTGTGTCATTCATATTTGACTACTTAATTGTTTTGGATGAATAGTTGCCAACAGTTCAAATACCATCACTGTTGGGTACATTTAGACCAATGACCAAGGTTTGATATACTGTAAGTGTTATATCCAGCACATATATAAGATAATGCAAAACACTGGATGTAAATTCTCTTTTGATCACAGATGAATGTAATTTATTTCTTCAGCAGTCGTGCATGCTGAGGGTGCAGCCCAAAATTCTGTCAACTTCAGTCAAGACGGACTTTTTTAGCGGTGTGATATAACATTGGTCACAGGCATTACAATTTCATGATATTTTCTAGTAGGATGTTTTCGGGATTCGATTAATATCGAATATATTTTTCAAAACAGGTGTAAAATCTACAATAGATTAAACTAGATTTCACAGACACGGATTCCAACCGTAAGGCTACCATGCCTGAATCATAAACTTAAACAGTAATAAAATAATGGAATGCAAAAAGAGGACTCGGAATAGAGAACTATGAATAAGAGGTCTTACCTACATACCCTCTTTTTTGTAACGTATAATCGAGTATAATTGTCTTCCTGCCAAGAAATGTGTACAGATGATTATCCCGTTAATAAATATTGAAGCTAATTTCCTAATAATTGTCCTAATCGGACAATTTTATCGCAGGAATTACATCGCAGCGCAGGCAGAAAATTTTCTCTATTCTTGACTCGTTGAATTCGCACTGAGAGAAATGGGCGGGTCTGGATGACCCACTTTGATGAGTCAACCGCGTCCGAAAATCGATGCACTTTTTTGACTCACTTGCCCCATTTGTGGGTCATACTGACCCATTAAATTTCAAGCACGACTCACTTGTGGCGTTAAATCGCTCTGACGCCCAGATGCTAACTACGTATCCATGCTACGGGTGGCGTCATAAGGGATTTTACGTCACAAGTGAGTCATGCCTGGAATTTAATGGGTAACCGCACTATTATCGTTGTACTAGTATACTAATTTGGTTTGAAAGCAACCTCTGCATAGTACAAGTACATTAAGTGTGACCTAAAGGTATCAGTGCATATAGGCACGCATAGGTAATGTAAATGCATTATTGCCAGTGTTAGTGTGTTGTGAAAGTGTCATTAGCAGCGTACTCTGATGTAATGTGAACGTACGCAAACGTAAATGTAAGTGTTGACAGTTTATACTTACAGTGGTGCATATTGGGATTATTATTATATTGTATTGGGTATTATACTATTATTAACAGTGTTGGTGCGCGCTGTTTTAACGCAAACGTGAAAAATTAAATTTATTTTAAATTTTGATGCATGCCTAAAACTGGAATATAATCATATATATAGTTTTATTCAAAACTTTTCCAAAAAATGCCTCGCGTCCTCGTACATGTAATTTATTTCCGAAATATGAATTGCGACATGGAAAATTTAATTAATATTCTATGGATCAAGGAATGCTTAAGCGTTACGAGAAAATAATTTGTGCATCATAGGTGGGATATTCATTTTCAGTGAATTCACTCCCAGCGAAATTCAACTTCATCGTTGCAACAAGAAATAATTTGATTAGATCAGATTACACCGAATTAAAGCAGTAATTCTAAATGTCTCCTTAGGATATCAAGATATGATTTAGGCGTTTTTTATGTGGCAATCAAAACCATCTGGCTTTTAGTTTGTCAGAAAGTCATATTTTATTTAGGAATCATGAATTTTTGGAGTTCTAAATTCCCAATTTACTCCACCACCCCAAAAATTTAGTAGGATTTAATTTGTATAGTTGTATTTAAAATATGATTTTCATACAAGCATATATACTCCCTTATTTACCGTAGCCTAAAGTATAAAGAAAAAAAAACTTAGAATTCATTATCTGTAACTTTCTTTGTTTGATATCGTACTCATAAAATTGATACCTCTCCTCCCATCAAGTTGATCAAAACTAATACTGAATTGAGAACTTTAATCCAAGTGTATAGTCTCTGTCTACACTATTGCCATCGAATCGATGATGGTGTTTTTATATTGATGTTTATGATGATATTTAAAATGATGTTTATGACGATGTTTATGATGATATTTAAAATGATGTTTATGACGATGTTTATGATGATGTTTATGATGGTGTTTATGATAATGTTTATGATGATGTTTATGATGATATTCATTATGCTGTTTATGATGATCTATGTATATGATGATTTTTTGATGATCTATATGAAGGTGTTTATGATGATGAGTTTAGGATATTAAGATATGAAGATGTTTATGATATTAAGAAACGTCGTCATGGGTGTTGCCAGAGGACACTCGGAAGAATGAGAAGGTCATTGTCCAAAGAGCTATGCATTTTTAGCCCTTATATTAGTTATCCTGGACCCGTAAAAGGTGTAGCGAGTAGGTATGCGTGTCATTATTTTAAAAAAATATAACTCAGTACTCACTGTAGTGAGTGACAAAGAGCGCATTTTCTCGTCGACGAAACCGTGAAGTCACGGACAGACAGACGGACGGACGGACATACTGACAGACATGGCGAGCACAATAGCGCCTTTTTCCCATAAATGAGAAAATGTGCAAAAAATATGATCCATTCCTTTTTCGTAGTGCAGGAATGCGAGGGAATTGAGTGCTACAACGTTTAAATTCCTGCTGTCAGAGGAAAGCTATACTTATCTCGGAGTAAGCTCGGAATGGATAAATAACATAAAGTATATGAGAAAATCAAATTATTTATATATAATCAAGTACATACGTTTAAGAAATAAATATTTTTTTCCATTATGCGCACGAACTTGCTCTAAATGATGGCTAACAAGTTTCGTGCATTGTGAAACATTCAACATTTTCGTGGCTAATTGTGTGAGACTTCCATATCACCGAAATACGAATATTAATAATATTACCTAAATAGGGCTATATACTGAATAAATAAATTACATATAATAGCCGCTCCATGAGAGCTTGGCTATTAATTTTGAATTATCTTTGGAAGTCCTTTACAGTTCTGTACAGTCCTTTCCAGTCCTTTCCAGAACATGCAAGTTGCGCCAAGTTATTAAGAAGAAACAGAACATGAGGTTACTAATCTTTTATCCGTACAGTGAACCGTAGCCAGGTTGAGCATATCCTTTACTGGCATAGGACTTTGAAGGGTACGAGTAACTAGGATAGGACGGCTGGTAAGCTGGTTGATAAGCTTGCTGATAAGCAGGTTGGTAGGCTGCTTTGACCGGTGGGTAATAGGCAGCAGGTTGTGCATAGTAAGATGGTGTGTACAGTGCAGCGGGATATCCTGCGTGTCTGGTATAATCTTTGTCGTATACGCCGCCTTTGTAACCACCTGTAAACTTTTTATTTTTTAGAAGTTTCTTGACGAGTAAAGTTTTTGCGATGACAGCTCCTCCAACAAGGGCCACCTTGCCAGCAACTGCGCCTCCAACGAGCAGCTTCGTAGCCAAAGCTTTCTTCGTGAGGGGGTCGAATGCGTCCGTTGCCAGCAGCAGGCTGCAGCTCGCTGCTACCACCCATATAGTTACTGGTGCCTGTGGAAATTTAAACGTCTCGTTTCATTGACAAAAAGATATTCCATTGACATTTCATTCACTATACAATAAAAAAACAAATACTGATTTTGGAGGGAAAATCCGAGACGACGTTATATGTAATATCAATTTGAATAATATCCAGTTGTTAAAGGCAGGTTAGGAAATCTTAGGTTCAGACAACTCTAGAAATTATTGTGATAGTGGGATCCCTCTACTATCCATTACGAAATTTTTAGTCACTATCTACAGAAGTAGAAGATTTTATTTGTAGAAACAATGTTAAAATATTCGAACAGTGACAGTTTTAGACTATTGGAATTTTTTTCTATATCTGTTCTTATTATTCATAATACGAATTGAGTGAATGAAAATTGATACAAGATTGATAAGTAAATCATGATACTTAGCATTAAAGCTCGAGGTCATGTACTAGAAATAAAATGCTTAAGTGACGGGAAAAATTGGCAGAAAATCCGATTACAACTAAGATATTTTTGTCATCTAAATTAATGTGAAAAAGTGGTTGAAGATATTTTTAATTCAAAACTAGTGTCAAATTCACGCCTGGTAGTATATTTGAGCAGAGGTTGAACTTTTCGGTAGTTTGAAAAACGCGCTAGTGAATGCAATCAAGTCCGCGAACAATAAGTGGTGGATAACACACATTAAAAATATATCTATTTTATTCAGCAATACAATCATCCAAAATAAAAACACGTCTATAAATAGACACGATGTAAAATTTTTCTCAAAATAATCCGAATAGAAGGGAAAATAATCTCACGGATCCTCACATCACTGCACTTCTACACTATGCAAGTCTTTATTAATATACCCAATTAACAAGAACACTGCATAGTCACGGCGTACCACTTTCATGCTTGCGGAGGTAGGATGATACTGCGAGTGTGGATCAAAGACAAGTGAGACTTGTCAGGCCGGACTGAACATTTAAAGACGACAGCGCTACGTAGGACGCAGGGCCAACTGCGGTAAATTGTGAGCCACTTCCGCAACTTCCGTATTGGGGATTGCCGTTCCAGCCCATAACTGTGCACTCGCTGTACCAATTTTTTAGCCACACGAAAAAAAAATATTTCTGTTCTCAGTGTTGCTGTAAAACGAGATTATCTATCGACAAATATGCACTGGAAATATTTACTTCATTTTCGTTGAAGGAAATGGTGAAGTGGTTTGTTACTGAAGCGACATTTTCGCCAGAATTGTGAGACAACAAATTAAATTATAGTAAACGCTGGAATATTGTATTGTATAATAACCCGGATTTCGAATAACGGAATCAGGGTGAATCGTGACATTCTAGTTAAGATCGTTTTAGTTGAATGCGACATAAGATTTACTTTACTCAAATAATACTGCATAACTTCGCACAAATCTCTCATAACAAACTTCTTGATCGCGAATTTATTATATAGACGCTAATTTATTCAATTCTGGCTTACAAATACATGACATTTTTGAATTGACTGATAATCAAAATTGTTAATGTAATTTGTATAATATTCATAATATTGAATTACAAATGCTCCTAGTGTGACTGAATGTCCTCAAAAATTTTACCAAAGTTTCATTCGGTGAAATTTTTTAGCCTTGATCGATTCGAGGCACGTTGTAACTCGGATGTTGCTTTAAAAGTGTATATATATCCGTGTTCATGACATGGTTTCGATATGTGGCATTTGTGGCTACCTAAAACAGTCGGCAATTTTCGAGCCTCATAAATTCCACATTATTCGTGCCATAATGAGGAAAAATACGCTTCGAACCACTCAAGATGAAAGCATGGGCATTAATTGTTCGAATATTTGCGTGATCGAGTGTCAAGAGGTTTATTAGTGCTCAAGGAGGAAGTGTTAGATATTATTGATGAAGACGTGAAGGTATTCCCGGGAATGGCACTTCCGAATTGGCACTCGATTGTCTTTGAAAATTAATGCAGGTGAACGATTTTTTGAGGATTTATATGAGTTTCATGTTTTAATTATTCACGTTAGTACAGGCTTAACAAAAGTCATTTCTAGATGAATCAGCCTCCGCAGAGAAGTGGAAGAATGGTTATCGCTTCGCGGTTAAAGTAAAATTTAGCTCATGAAAATTTAGCCCGCATGTTGTAGAGCTGATATTTTTGTTTGGAAGAACAACGTAGCATAATAATGTCATTAGAAATATTAAACGTATATAAAAATTACTCAAAACGTGAGTTAGAGCGTCACTGTAGCAGTGACCTTGTACAGGCTGTACTCACATGCAAATTTAAAGTAAAGTAAAATTTGGCCCATGAAATTTAGCATGAATGATGTAGAGGTGATATTTTATATGGAAGAACAACGTGGAATAATAATATCATTAGAAAGATTAAACGTATATAAAAATGACTCAAAACGTGAGTTAGAGCTCCACTGTAGCCGTGACCTTGTAGGCTGTACCCACACGCACACTTAGTAAGGCTAGCTGCAGTGCGGTGGCTGGGGGGTGGGGAGAGGTCAGGTTTTCCCTGCTATAACGGACGTGAAGCTTCCTGTTCTGTGAAGCGAGGGTCTCTTGAACAATATTTGAGAAATATTATTATCTAGTTCATATTATCTTTATTATAGTTATGAATATTATTATTCGTGTTATTTTATCATGATCATTATTATCATTATCAACATCATTATTCATATTTTTAATACTATTATTATTGTTTTAATTATGATTTTTATTGCCGATATACTTAATTAGCATGATTATAATTATCATTATAACTATTATTATTATGAAAAACCATGCCTTTTCAAGATGATTCCCTGCAATTTAGAGGGTAATTAAACTAAACTTTTCATTATTTTTAATAGAAACGACCGAGGGGAAACTTTTTGCTTTGCTACTTGGGGAAAACCAACCATAACCCAGCAGTGAGAGTACCTGTACAGGACAAGGTTAGTAAAAGGAAATGCCAGACGAAGAGTCTAATTTGTGGTGAAGATTTTTTCAGAGAAATCATGTCAGATAATTCAGTATTTTCGAATTATTCAGCCTTGAACTTATTTAAGTACTGAGAGGTCAACAGAAGTAGTTTCATCGCTGCCATAAACTTTTACATAGTTACATGCTAAAGCAATTTATATGATATTAGCGTTTTTCTTAGGTTGATATATGATATAAAAAAAGTTTTTGCTTTTTGTTTTAAACTGGGTCTGGTAAAGAAAGAGCTTTTCGGTTTCCAGAGAAATTCGAGTTCCATTAAATTAATTGTTAAGAAATAAATGTTAACATTGTAGTGTTCGAATATTTCCCGTTTATTTCGTTTCAACAATTATTACGCGCTGTAAATTTACGAAGTCCATGCTAGTCGAAAACGCTTCTTTGCCAAATGCTTACTACATAATTTCATTAAAATCTAGGTACCTTTTAACATAGGGTACAATGAAATTATTATGTCGTACTTAATAAGAAAGTTCAGCGTCAATTGTCCCATACATGGGTAATATCCAAACTAACTTATAACAGAACTGAATCATCTACTATAACGAAACTGAATCGAACGAAACTGAATTTTAACTTAACGAAACTGAATCGAAGAAGGGAAAGTGCAAAAAATTGAGAGTTCCGGCTTGAGCAGCGAAGCACTTTCATGGTCACTCAGCATTATAATCGATTATAAACATCACGTTTTTCGTGTCAAAATTTCTACTTATTATTTATTGTTTTCATTGGAATGTAATATGTCCATGGTTCCATTCAAGCCGGGCTCGTGCCAATCAACACTGTTTTACACTAATTTACATCATTAGTTAGCTAATGCGGAACAAATACGGAACACACTGTGAGGTCATGTCATTCCGGATGTTCCTGAAGTCCACAGAATCGGTAATGAATATAAGCAAGTGGGAGCTAATAGTGGCTTCCGATATTATATTTTTTAAACCCGGGAAAGTTTACTTTTTCACATTCCCGGAACATCAACAAATCAAGTGTCAGTAAATGCGTGGTATGTCCAGTGACTTTGCTGATTATTTTGAGAGATTACAAATTATTTTTACGCACATATTTCAAACAAGTTGAGGGTGCAAAACACATATATGGACGTGTACAAATATGTGTATGACACGGCAAATGAAAATCGCTTCATGTACATATCATACTCCAGTTGGTCATACTGGATTGAAAAGTGATAATTTCGAAGTGAGTGTTTCTTATAAAGAATGCATTGAAATATTTATGGGCGTAGTCATTATTTAGGATGTGCAATGCATGTGCAAGAGTCAACGTGGAAACAAGCCCTGCTTGTTCCGCGTGGGCGACGCTAGCATATGCAGTTCACAGTGTAGGACAAGCTAAAAGACGGTTACGCGGAACTAGCCGAGTGCTTGTTACGTTGATATATTAAGAAATATTTTCTTTTCCTGTAGTATCGTTGACGTAAAAAACTGTCCAATAAATTGGAAATTTTCTGTCGGAATTTCATGTGACCGTAGAGATTCCAGATAATTTATTGAGAGATTTTTCATGCTGCGAAATCCCTTTACCATAGTTTTTCCAATTAAATTAGTTAGCGAACTTCCGGTATACGTCAAGTTTCCCTTGATGCATTTCTAATGATATTTTTCGGTAGAAATTTTGAAATCAAGAACTATTAAATTACAGATTCATTATTAAAAATAATCTGCTAATAAAGTCCAATAGCGGTATTATCTATAATTTTGATTTATCAATTTTTACAAAATTGGAATCGTACAGGACCTAATAAGTGCTCTATTATTATTATTGTCGACCATTGAATCTGGTTTCTCGAAAAGCACATATTTTGCATGATTTTTGTCGATCCAAATATCGTAGAATTTAAAAGATAATTCCAAGTGCGATTATGATATATTTAACATTAATCATTGTGTAAGATTTCATATAGTTATCGTTTAAAACTCGCAACTTGAAGGAATTTGAAAATTATTCATAGATATATTTATTTAGTTATTAATATTTTGAACTGAAGAAAAACCCGCCACGGCTCGATATTGATGAATACAATCATCCATCAACTGACTGAATATTCAATTCAGGATCTTTTGCATGCATGAAAAGAAAATTTTTAATTTTTTCGAGAAATTTTCCAGAATTATTTCTTATACAGTTGTGTACGTTCGTCCACTTAGATCTCGAATTTAAAATATGGAGGATTTCAGGAATTTAAATTCGCTGAAATAATCCCGAATATTTTTTATACCAAGTTTTATACAAACGCACATACAAAGTGATTTTCAAAATATCTTGATATGGAAATTTATTTAATGAATTCTTCAGTCCCAATTCTCTGAAAATAAAATCACGTGCGAAAATTTAACGTAAATTTTTAAGATATTACATGTCAGAGACACAATTAAAATGTAACAAGTGAAGATGAATAAAGGCGTACGCATAAGTATTTCTATTTCAATATTTCTATTTCTAACTCCTTCTTGAGCTCCTTCTAACTCCTTCCTTTTTTTGTGTCACAGTACACACTGAATTTCAGTGATCGATACGCAGATCGGATGCACAAGACTGCATGACAATAGAGTGAGGGCTCAATTTTTATTGTTATCGCTCATTTTTACTCATCTTTGAATTATGTCATCCGCAATAATAATACAGCATAGCACAACTGTGCATTGTGTTAAACACTTCCTGACATACTCCTACAGAATGGGCTTCAGTTTCGGGATAACTCATTATTAATCTTCTCTTATATAACCATAATTGACGTTCACAATAGTACTGTAAAGCGAAACAGTATTCATTGTTTTAAAATCGCTTCCTGTAACTCAGCCGACATGAATAAACTGTGCGTCAAATCCGGCCTCCGAGACGCCGGAGCGGAAAATCCGCTCCTCGTAGCTTCCTCAACGACGCCGTCCAGACCTTGATGGGCGGCGGCCGCCCAGGGTCAA